AGAAGAGAGCTGTATGCAGTGACATAATCAGATTTAGTTTTCATTTTCAGCCTGTGTCTGAGTGCACTGGCCCACTGTTAGCCAATATTGACCATCACTGTTGACTTTTGCAGCAATAGTGGGGAATGTATGTACTCTAAATGTGCTTCAGCTGGGGAATGTAGATCCATCAAATTCAGCCTCATTGCAGTCGGTTTGTCCACTCACAAATACAGATTATCTGCTGGAAATATTCAAGTAGGCATTTTATGTGCCTGTTAAGAGGATGCATTGTTAAAAAAAAAAAAAATTTACTGGTAATTTTTTGCCAGGACATTTTCAAGTATTTTTACGCACATTTCTGTTAACCCTAAAACACAATGCAATGCAGTGCAAAATTCTAAATACACGCAAAACATCTGTATAAAATTACAGTGTGGTGGCTTGATCAGATTTGTTCCCCAAGATGGAATTTCACTATTGCATACAGATCAGGGTTATTATAGCTAACCAAAACTGAAACCATCAAAAACCACCCTTTTCCTTAAAATAAAATAAACATTAACTAAAATAAATATAAAAAAGTTTATTTCAGCTAGTAGCTTGATGTCCTAAAAAAAAACTACAACTAAAAAAAAAATAATAATAATTTTAAAGTTTGAGTTTTTTTTCTTCTTCCAATTTGAGTAGTTTATATATTTATATAGAGCATTTCTTTCTCTTCTCTGTCTGTGTGATTCACCTGTTCATTGAGATGCCTTCTCTTTATGATGGAAACCACAACGACAGAACAACTACCTATCAGACTGCAACAGAAAGAAAAAGTGGTTACAATAATAAATCTAGAACAACAACCACGCATGAGACACAAGTTAAGAATTCTACTTTCTCTGTCCTGGTCTCTTACACTGTGAAAAGCGGTAAGCTGCAAAAGCAATCTTAAGGAATTATTTCTGTCTCATCTAACACTTTACATTTCGTTTTGTCCGTGTAAACGAATTATTTAGATGTTACATATAGGTCTTTTGACTTAA